AAAGGGATCTGCTGTCGCCTTTGACATCTCCGAGTGGTGGCCTGGCCACCTCCCCTTTCCGGTCACTTCTCTTACCCCTACCCCCTTTCCCGTGCTGCATCACAAGTCACTGCAGGGTCTTTGTGGACTCTGGCTTCCCTTTTGGTTGCCATTCTGTCTTGGCAATCTTGTGAGTTTTTAAAAACTCTCTAAGAAAAGTTCCATCTCTTGGATCCTGCCCTGCTCTTTTCATAGCAAAACAAAGCAATGCCACCTCCCTTAAATACCTTGATTGTTCCCAGCACTCGGATCCCGGCGGAAAATACTGGACTGCTCCAATCCTGCCCCTTGTAGGAGGAGCTCCTGGAACCAGAAGTAGAATCGCCCACAGATGCCCTGCCCTGTCACTGTCCCTGGGTGGGCAGAGCCCAGGCTTCTTGAACTCACAGAGATCTGAGTGCTGGGATTAAAGGTCACCACGCCAAGTTTCACTCTCCATTTTTAATTAGCTGATAATGAATTAGAATACAAGTGGGAGTATAAAATTTCAGAGATTAAAACTACCATCTGGGTCATGTGTGGTGTCAAGTGGCTGTAATCCTAGCGTTTAGGAGGCTGATGCAGGCAGACTGCAAGTTTAAAGCCAGCCTGGGCTACAGAGGGAGATCCTGAATCAACGCCACTCCCCAACAACAATAATTAAAAGCAGACTGTTTGACATTCTTCCATACTCTAGAAACTTCTGTTCCATAGGGGCATGGGTTGGTGGTGGCCTTAGGAGAGGGGTTTGCGCTGTCCCGACCCTCTGGCTCTTTGTGGTACTATCCCCATGTGTCAGTTGCTGCCACTATGACCCACAGGTGATACCATTTTCATTCAACTGCTGTTTGGCTGAGCGCTCACCAGGTGGCAGGCACCGTACGAGGCATTTGGGCATATGTTTCCCATTTCACTTTCCTGCAGTCCAGTAATACAGGTCTGCATGCCCCTCCTCCTTACGGCCTTCCTGATGGCACACACACAGCAGTTACCAGGGGAACACACTTTGAATCTTTGACATCTTTGTGACCCAGGCTGCACTGTAACACTGAGATGCGTTAGGTGCTTTGGCATGCAGGGGGCCCATCCTCCATAACAATAAATAATGACATTTTCAAACTACATTGCTGTAAAGACAGCATACACACTGGATTAAAAATTAAACCATTTCAACCCTTAAAGTTCACCTTTTCCCTTGTGAAATGAAATAACCCCTTTGTTTTTAACCGCTGTGAGTTCCAGCGCAGACTCAAGGACCACTTTCTGCCTGGAGCATCCTGGGTGCCCCATGCAACAGCTCAGCTTCTTTCTGACTTTTGTCTCACCACGTTTTAGGGGCTCACCCATCAGGAAAAGCTCTAGTCCCTGCCCCCACTACAGTCTTTGAAAACTCAATTAAAGCCTGCAGCTGATAGGGAGGGTGGTGGCCAAGCCAGGTTTCCTACTGCCCAGCTTCCCTCTGCTCGGCCTGCTGCCTCCTGGGCTGTACAGCATGTGCAGTGTCTGGTACCAGTAATGAGGTTAGATATGGTTGCCTTTTAATAAAACACACTGGGCCTGGAGAGGGAGCGTGATGTTCAGCACAGGCTAAGCCCTGCGGGTAACTGTGTTCCTGTGTGATTGCATTACGTGGGAGCCAGTCTGCAGGTGGTGTGGAGAGATTGGGATGTATCTGCTTGACCGTCACAGCCCAGAGATCTGTCACCCCACCCTGAACTCTCAGAAAGGAAGGAGAGTAGCCATGTAAGGGGCCACAAGAGCCCCTGTTCCTTGCAAGACTCTAGTGTGAACCAAGTGTGATATTGTAGTTAGGAGGCTGAGGCAGGGGGATGTCAAGTTAGAAGCCAGCTTAGATTACATTGTGAGACCCTGTCTTGAAAGAAAGAAAAAGAAAGGAGAAGGAGGGAAAAGGAGAGAGAACACAGGTCTGTGGGAGCTGAGGAAAGCTGGGGTCAAGAGTGGCCATTTCCAGGCTGTGGAGCCATGGTCTACGGTTCTGCCCTGGGAGCACAGGCGAGGACAGCCAAGAGTGAGCAGCATCCACATGAGGAGGGAAGAGTAGGGTGTTCTCACTGTTGGGGTGACCAGGGACCATGATGCAAACGTACATGCTTACAACCCCTTTCAAGCTTGCAGATGCCACAGGCTGAGCAGCTCTGGCTGAGCCTTGGGGGCATCTGCCCTAAGCACAGAGAACCATGAGCTATGCTCAACTGAGCTGCAGCCGGGAACATTTTTACTAAAGGATTCCAGGAGGCACAGGACAACTCAACAGTTTTTGTTTTTGAAACAGGGTCTTCCTGTGTAGCCTAGGCTGGCCCGGCACTTGGAATCCTCCTGCCGTAGCCCCTGAGTGCTGGGATTGCTGCTGCTTTATCTTTTCTGTAACTCCCGATTTTGCGCGTACAGCACTGAGTGCATAGGAGTCCCCAGCAGGCAAGCCGTGCCTGCCCGAATGGAGGGGCCCCGCTTAGCGAGCGACAGCCCCTCTCAATGCCTCTGGCATTACCTTGTAGCCTCACCCTTGCATCAAAAGCAGCCACGTTTCTGAAGGCCACTGTGCCTCACTTTCTCCTCAGGCTGGCCTTCTTGCTCCCAGGACTGCTTGGCTGGGTGTCCTACCCGAGAGTAAACTGAAATTGAGACACCGCTGCTCACTCAATCCCCTGAACCCCCCTTTCTCCTGCTCATACCCATTTTCTCCTGGGGAGCTGCGGGCAGCACCTGGGTTTGGTGCTGTGACAGTGAGTGATGAGCAGGGACCAGGGAGACTCCCTTATTCAACAGGGGCCACCAGAGCCTTGATTGGCTAAGTGTTTAGAAAGTGTGGCAGTGTCACCCTAGTTAGTGAGCATTAGAAAGTTCAGTGCTGGTGGCAGACCTTGACCACTGGGGAAGAGACCCAGAAGAGTGTGCCCTTTGTCAATGGATGGTGCCCTTTTCCTAGTCTGATGGGAAGGGCCATGCAGGGTTGCCTTGAGTTTTTAATACTAGCCCCAAACCCCGCATCCTGTCTTGGGCAGTGCTGGGGATTGAATCCAGGGCCCTGCTGAGTGGGCCCAGTCTGTGCCCTGTCACTGAGCTATACATCCCAGCCCTCTATGGCCCTTCTTGTAGCATCCGCTACTATTAATACTTGTCTGGAAGCCCCTGCTGGCAGGGCCCAAGTCTTTGCTGGGGAGTTCCACCATCTACCAGCATCTAAGGAGCAGCAGCGAGTGGAACAGCTCTTTGCTGGTGGTAACTGTGAGCATGACCTTTACTGTCTTTGAGCCCTCCTTCCTCATCTGTTACACTGGGGTAACACTTGGTACGCTAACAGTACTGTTGAGCGGTAAATAGAGAGGGCATAAAGCGCCTGGCGCAGAGCACGAGGCTCCCTGGCTGTCGGTCCCCGCCCTCCTGATGCATACAGGTTCGCCTCCCCCTGGGGTTGGGTGTGCCGGCAGCACTCAGGGGCTCGCTTCACAGGGAATTCAGGACGGAATCTCCAGTGCGGGACGGTAAAGCCACCCTCCCACTCACTACCTTGTGAAGAGACCTTCCCTAGGGTCTCTGCCCATTTCGTGAGGAGAGGTCAAGGGCCTGATGCTGCAGCCGGGATCTGCCCTTTGTATGGAGCGTGACAAAGCTGTGACAGGTCACCTGCTCCTGCTGTTCTTCCTCACTGGGAGCTAATCAGATTCCGCTCTGCTCCGGGCTCTGGGGAGATGAATCTAATAAGGGAGGAGTGACCTGGAGAGGAGGCAGGACAAGGGACTGCAGGGGACAGCATTCTCTGTTGGATACCTGAGGGGTCTTGGAGAAGGGTGCGGTGAGTGGCCTTCTTGTCCTCAAGAAGTGGGACACTTCAGTAGAGAGCGTCGTGGGATTAAATCTAGAGCAGAGCCCAAGAGGGTAAGGAAGTTTTGGGGAGCCTTGAGGACTGAGGCGGGGCTGGAGCTGCACTTGGGGTCAAAGCAGTGAGCAAGATGCCATTGCCCTGGAGTGAGTCTCCAGGGCAATGTAGCCGCACGGAGCAGAGAGCAGGAAGTTGGGTTTCACCAGAAGGCTACCAACAGCAGGTTGTATTGCTAACCCAGGGGGAGCTGACGCCTCTATGTGGACCTGGTGGGAACACAGTGGGGCTGCGGAAGGACACGTTAGGATCATGAGGCAGCAGGCATTCCTCTGGCTGGCCAGGGCGATATGACTTGGGAAAGGAGGCATGTCCCAGTGTGTCAGGCAGACTGAAAACAGAGAGGCTTGTGTCATGAGCTGGTAGGACAGCGGAGCTGGCTGAGAGGGAAGTGATGACAGAGATCTGGGAGCCCCTGAGCTGTGTAGCCTTCAATGGACCCCCTGGGCAGGAGGAGGGCAGCCCATGGCTATCTGGGGGCTCGAGAGGGCATGGCTGTGATGGGAGAGGACACTGCTCCTGGATGAGGCTGATGGGTCAGTGAGGAGGCAATCTGAGGGAAGACAGAATTGGCATAAGATTTTGCAGTCACATGTGTGGGGACAGACAGGAATAGCAGCAAGAGTTCCAGAAATAGGGGTTTACTCCTGGCTGGGGCTTCAGAAAGAATTCCCACACAGCAGGCATGACTTGGAAGAACATGTCAAGAATTTGAGGAAGAGGCCAGCCTGCTTCACACAAGTCTCTGAGTGGTGCCTATCCCATGAAAGCTGAGAGCCAGCCCCCTGCAAGTTCAGTCAGCAGGAGTTAGGGGCTCAGCTAGAGACAGAGACAAGGACAGTGCGGTGGTGTGAGGTTGTTGAACCGATGAGGCAGAAGTTTGTTCATCTACATGAAAAGATGTGTGTGCTATGCCATTACAGTAAGATGGGTTAGAAGATGTCATGTGTCCATTTCTATGAAAAATGTGTGTGTGTTTCTGACAAATGCATGTGGGGATGCTGGTGACTGGCTTTTGTCTCTCACAGAGCGTCTTATTAACTGCCTTGTTCTTCTTTTCAAATGGAGGAGTTGCTGTCCAGAACTGGAGGCGGAGCTGGAGCTGACCCCACTGGAGGAGCTGGCAGACCCCGGCCCGGCACAGCCAGAGCACCAGCAGCAGCTAGTGTTGGGGAAGCTGCTCTCACAGCTTCTGTTTGCTGCTGCCACGCACCTTCTGGTACCCACTACTGCTGGGAGGGGGCCGTAAGCGGGAGCTCTGATGTCCCGCTGGGGGTGGCATGGGTGGTAGTCTTGCCCAGCCAGAGGAGGACCTTTGTGTACTCAGCCACTGCCAGCCCTGAGGCAACCAGCTTGCTCCCCTCCACCCTTTTTTCTCATGGGACATCGTGGGGGCAGGAGAAGATGCAGGGGAAGGGTTGAGAGCGCGCCTGAGGTTGGCCTGCATGCACAGAGCCTCTCAAGGCTCTCCTGGTCCAGGCGGTGCCTCCTTAAATAGTGACATAGGACTCTGTCTTCCTGCATAGATCATCGACAGTTCAGTAGGGTGGATGAGAACATGTGAGTTCTGCATGTGAGGCCACTTTGCTGGGGTCTCTGGTTCTGGAAACCTCACCTGAGGGAGGATAGCAACCTCTCTCACCCTTGGTGTGGGAAGGAGCTGGAAGGGACGGACTCGGGGTGGGGGTGGGGCTCCCAGGCTGGCCTGTGGTCTGGCACAGCAGGGGCGGGCAGAACACAGCTACCTAGAACAAGGGGACCCTCTCTGGGGTGCCCTGGCTCTTAGGATCAGGGGTTGAGGCTTACAAATGAGTGACAGAGCAAGGCTTCCACTTCCCACCCGGGAAGGACCTTCCCACCCGGGAAGGACCTTCCCACCCATCTGGAGAAAGGAGTGGCGGGCCTGCACCTTCGGGGAATCTGCTGTGTCTCTGCTGTGTCCGTCAGTCCCAGCCCAGAAAACCCAGGGCCTCAGGAAACTGCAATGACAAGCCAGGGATGGGGCCCATGCTGTCATCAGAACTCGGGTGCTTTTAAACTTGTGCCCCACTTTGTATGCAGAGCCCAGGTCAGGTTAGTCTCTGTGGGAAGGCCTGGCCTCCTGCTGAGGTGTTCCTAGGATTTGGGGACTCTGCCCCAGGATGTTGACAGGGGTCTTGAAGGTGGGAGGGCGAATGTGCACAGCTTAGACACGGGGTGGGGGAGGGGGCAGCTGCCTTCGTCAGGCGGTTTGTATCCCTAGAACTCTGTCTCTCCTGCAGCCGGGGTCTCAACATGGAGCACGGTGCCTCCTCCGTACCTGGTGCGTTGCCATACTACGTGGCTTTCTCCCAGCTGCTGGGCCTCACCGTGGTGGCTGTGACTGGTGCGTGGCTGGGTCTCTACCGAGGTGGTATTGCCTGGGAAAGCTCTCTGCAGTTTAACGTGCACCCGCTCTGCATGGTCATAGGCATGATCTTCCTACAAGGAGATGGTGAGTCCTGGGACTAGTCCAGGGAGCCTGTGTTTGGAGGGCGACAGCTGCTCTCCAACAGGTTTCATTGGTTCTGCATCTGCCTTCAGCAGGTGGCATCTCAGGGGCCACGGCTGCCTTCTAGAGCAGAGCCAGCCTGGGTTGTGAGCTATACTGTCTTCAGGGGCAGCTGGAAGTTGGGAAAGGTAGACACATGTGTACGAGTGCATTGTTGAATGGGGACATGGCTGAGCTAGAGTGCCGGTCCTTGGGATAAGAGCCAGCAGGTGCTTGGTGTGAGTACAGCCTGCAGGGAGCTGGACTGGGGTGGGAGGAACTGGCAGCCACCTCCCAGCAGCAGGTCCTAGAGGCATCCAGGGGCCTGTCCTCCCTCAGTAGCAGTGGGGACTAGGCAGGATCACATTACGCCTTGGACGCTGGGAGTCTGCCTGAGAAGAGCAGTGATTATCTATCCAGAAAGGCTCCTGAATCACACTCTCTGCTAAGAGGTACATGGAGTCTGGCCAGCACCTCAGTTTGACTGATAATCCCTGAACCCCTGAATCAATGAGTTACAGGACACCTTGCAAGGCCCAGCATCTCCCAGGTCTAGCAGTTGCCCTGAGTGGGTACTCAGGGCAGAGTCCTGCCTTTGTTGCCTCTGATGGTGGCAGGAAGTGTGGCATAGCCTCCTTTCCTGGTCCTTGAGTGTGCATGGGCCAGAAAGACTCAGAAGCAACCTTGACCGAAACCAGGATGGGTGCGAGGTCCCTGTGCAGTCCTGTTCTCTCCTCCAGTTTCTGTGACTGTCAGACTTTGACAGGCTCTTGGCACAGATCTTTGTGTAGCCAGCCAGGTTTCCCTGTTTGTCCAGTACAGGCCTACACACTTAAAACGTTCTCTCACTTCCCACAAGCTCTGCTGGTGTACCGTGTCTTCAGAAAAGAAGCCAAACGCACGACCAAGATCCTGCATGGACTGCTCCATGTTGCTGCCTTCATCATCGCCCTGGTGGGTGAGTTCTTGGACACAGCCTTTCTTCCTCCACCTACCGCTGCAGGCTCAGCAGCGGCTGCAGGATACAGTCCCTACCCCAGGCTGCCTTGCCCCACTCTCCTCCTCACAGGCATCCCAGGCAGTGATACTGGATCCTGGCCATCATCGGGCTGGACCAAAGCCCAGAAGTTCTGGCTAGCAGTTTCCCCTGGGTTTCCCTTCCTCTCCCTTTTCCATGTTCAGCCCTGTCCTCAGATGGCCCCTGTCTCTGCTCCAGGCTTGGTGGCCGTGTTCGACTACCACAAGAAGAAGGGCTATGCTGACCTGTACAGCTTGCACAGCTGGTGTGGGCTCACAGTCTTTATTCTGTACTTTGTGCAGGTGAGTCCAGCTCCAGCGAGGGATGGGGGAGGGGAGGCGGAGGTAGTGGGGCTCAGGTATGCCATAAGGGGCCCATTTTTCCCGGGTGCCATGTCCAGAGAGGAAGGAGCAGGTTAATAGAGTTGGATGTTGTTTTCAGAGGCTGAACTGGGTATACACCGAGGACTGTAGAGGACAGGGCGCCCCAGACCCTTTTCCTTTCCCACTGACCGTACAAGTGTTGAGTCACATGCCTCAGCTTCCTGAATCCACGGGGTGATGAGCTGCTGTTGGAGGTCCAAGGCCTCAAGGCAGAAGGCTTCCAGTACTGGAGAGCAGGCCAGCTTCCCTCTAAGTGTTCCATGCTCCACTGGGGCACGTGAGGGATGCAGGGGCTTTAGTGGTCTCCTGGTAGGTCCCAGCCAGCTCAGGGCTCAGTAGAGTCCTCTCTTCTTTTAGTGGCTCATGGGTTTCAGCTTCTTCCTGTTCCCCGGAGCTTCGTTCTCTCTGCGGAGCCGTTACCGCCCCCAGCACATCTTCTTCGGTGCCGTCATATTCCTCCTTTCTGTGGGCACAGCCCTCCTGGGCCTGAAGGAGGCCCTGCTCTTCAAACTCGGGTAAGTGTCCTGAAGAGGAAGGGTCCCAAGTGCCCTCTGCTTCACTGGGAGCCTCTTCTGAGATGACTTTTCTCTCTGGGAGGGCGGAGGGGCTGCCCCTGAGAAACCTGAGGCATTTTTAAGGCCTGGGCTGCATTTGTCCTAACTGGGACCCTTGCTGGCTTCTCCCTTCACCATACCCTACAGGACCAAGTACAGCACGTTTGAACCTGAGGGGCTCCTGGCCAACATGCTGGGCCTGCTGCTGGTCTGTTTTGGGGTGGTTGTGCTCTACATCTTGGCTCAAGCTGACTGGAAGCGGCCTTCCCAGGCTGAAGAGCAAGCCCTCTCCATGGACTTCAAGACCCTGACAGAGGGAGACAGCCCCAGTCCCCAGTGATGGCCTTGGGTGGTCCTCCTGGTTCTGTGGGTTCCCAGATGTCTTTCTGTTCCTCCGTGCAGAACCTGAGTCTTTAGGTCCGGGAGTGCGGGTCATCAATGTTAGTTTAGTGGGGTTCCATGTTTTGGGGTTGTCCTCTGCTTTCCCTTTCTCGCTTGTGGCTTTTGATGCATCCTGTGAGCCCTGTGTAGGCCCTGCCTGTACCCGCTGTTGCCCTTTCACATGCAGAAAGCTTAGTCAGGGGTTCTGGGGGTCAAGCCTGGTCTTGATCCTTAGGGGAGCTCCACCCTCCAGGCAGCAGATGGCTGGGGCTGGGCCTGAGGAACTGGCATGGAAAGCCAAGACTGTTGCTTGTGTATTCAACCCTGGAGTCCCAGCAGTTCGGGAAGCACGTGTCCTTGGCAGTAGAGCAAGTGATATTATGTGTAAAGTATGCTGGTGTTCAGAATAAGGTCCCCCAGAAGGGCTGAGTATGTCCCGAAGGAGCCCTGCCATGTGGTTTGGCCACAGTCGCAGATCTTTCTGTTCTTTAATCCCTAAATAGGCTTTTCAGGGAAGGGGTTAGGTGCTCAGAATGCAGGTATGTACCTGCCCTGGTGGACAAGGAGGGCAGGCTGCTGGCGGTGAGGGGCCTCCTGACCTCCAGCTGCCCTGACAGTTCCTCCCTCCAACAGGTTCTGAGCCTGCCCAGGCTGGCCTGCAGAAGGAAACCAGGGCTCAGCCTGCTGTTTGTCTTGCTCTCCAGGGGGCTGCTGGGGTGCCTGGCTTGGCTGGAGCATTACTGTCCTCCCACACCCGGGTCTATCTTCGCAGGACAACAGGACTGGGGTAGAGGAATGGGTTTTGTCCCCTGTGGTGTCTGCACACAGCCAACCCCCACTGCGTTGTGTTGTTAGCTGAGTCACTGTTTGGCTTGAGTCTAGAAATAATGTGATTAGAGCATTGATCTCATGCTTCTTGGGCTTGGCACAGGCTCTCTCTCCTCTCCAGGAGCCTCACGGTTTGTGACAGACACGGTTAACTTAACAACGGGAAATGAGCAGTTTCTGAACCTGACAATTTCTTTAGGTCAACAGGCTGGTCTTCTGTCAGATTTCTAAGAACTATGCTTCAGGTGATGTTTCTTTCCCCAGCTGGGGTGGAGCCCCTCTCCCTGGGGCTGCCCATCACCCTGGCCTCCTCTTGTATCTTTCCAGTTGCCAGGATGATGAGGTTTCCCTCCAGTGTCGACTGCATCTGCTGCAAGGATAGGGATCTTATCAATTCTTTCATCAGCCGGCACACTTGTATAGTCAAATGTTTACATGTGGGAGACTGGTCCTTAGACAGAGCACTGAGTACCATTGTGAATCTCCCTTGCCAGACTACACAGAAAATGACAACTTCGAGAGCCTGTAAACTAGTCTTTTTGCCAAAGTGTGTGATGCATGACTAAGGACCAAAGAAGGCCCCTAGCAGATGTGTGCGGTTTCTTCTGTTTGCCTGTGGCTGTCTCCTGTGACGTACAGAGTGTTGTTGGTGCAACAGATGAATCAATAAATGTCTACAGCAGAGCACTTGCCTTCTGTTCTCATTTGCTGAGGCAAGAAAAGGATCCAAAGCTTTAAGCTGTCAGATTCATGAAATTAGTTCTACTAGGGATGAGAGAAATTGTCCCCAGGGTGGGTACAGCAGATAAAGTGACTGACAGGTTCTCAGCACAGGACTGACATGTCTCTGTGGTGGTGAGGTTTGGCCCCAGTGGAGGGGATCCTGAAGGGCTCTAGCAGGCCTGAGCATGGCAAACATGGCACCCCCATTTTTTGTCTTACCTTTCTCCCCCATTCCCTCTTCTTTGCTAAACTGTAGATTCCATTCCTAAAGCCGGCACCAAGGTCTATTTCTGTATCTGGTCACGTCTTCCTCCTGAGGCTAACCACTAAAGTTCAGCCATCCAAGCATTGAAGTCCAGCAATCAAAAACCCCCTTTTGGCTCATCTAATTAACATGCTCAGTCAAAACAAACCACCTCATCCTAACACAGGGTTTCCCCCTGTATCTTTATAAACCGCCTTTTTCCTATGGGCCATATCTGTCTCCTCTCTATCCAAACGCAGTCCTTTGTCCCTCCAGGGCAAGTACCCTTTCCCCCCTCTCCCTGCCCCCTTCCCCTTCTCCCTCGTCCTCTGTCTCCTGTCTTTGTCCCTTATCCCTGCCCTCTGTCCTTCTGGGGCCAATACATCTCCTTTGTGCTGAGATCTTGGTCTTGGGGGTCTTAGGCCAACTTCGAGGTCCTTTCAGGGCCTTCCTTGTTTTTTCCCTGCCTGAGCCTGGGAAGGCTCATGCCCAGTCCAGTATCTGTTTGACCCTTTCAACATCTCTTTCTGATCCTTAAGAAGAGGAGTGAAGCTTTTCAGAATGAGCTGAGAGTCTGCGTTGGGTTGATTTATGTGACCCATGCAGGAGCTATGCTTATGGTAAATTTGAGTGGGTCTCACTGTGCCTCTCTATGCATGGTGGTACATGCCTGTAGTCACATCACATGGCAGCAGGAGTATCTTGAGGCCAGCCTGGACTACAAGAGCAGGCCCCGTCTTAAAATAACAGTACTGGAGGTGGTAGAGTACTTGCAAGGCCCTGGGTTCTATGTCAGGACAAACAAAATAAGCAAAAACACCCTCAATGACATAAACAAAGCTAAAATACCTCGCTAGAGAGCTCACTATTTCTTATTACGAGACAGCATTTCTGTGTGTAGCCCTGGCTGTCCTGGAACTCACTCTATAGATCATGCTAGCCTAGGACTAAGAGATCTACCTGCCTCTGCCTCTGGGGGTGCTGGGATCAAAGGTGTGTGCTACCACCGCCTGGCCCAGAGCTCACTATTTAAAGGGAGCTTACAGGAGATCCTCTCATAAGTAAGTGGTTCCCCAGAATTTGTTCAGCTTTATCCTGTTGCTGGTTGCTAGTGTGTAGGAGCCAGAATCAAGGTCCTTCCTCTAAACCAGGACTCTCAACCTTCCTAATGCTGTGACCCTTTAATACAGTTCCTCATGTTGTGCTGGCCCCCAACCATAAAATTATTTTCATTGCTATTTCATAACTGTAATGTTGCTAGTTATGAATCATAATGTAAATTATCTGTGTTTTCCAATGATCTTAGGTGACCTCTGTGCAAGTCATCTGACCCACCAAGGGGTCATGACCCACAGGTTGAGAACCTCTGCTTTCAACCAAGGCTTCCTTGTGGACTTTCACTTAATTAAAGGTTTCTAAGCACATGGCTCAGTGCATGCACAAACTGTCAATGTCAAACACAGGCTTCTCCCAGTGGGAGAAGGCAGAGGGATCCTGATTGTGAGTGCTAGGTCTCTCTCATCTTACTTCTGGGTCTGGGGTTACCCCTGAATCCTGTGCTCTTGTTAGGAATTTCTTTCTTTCTTTCCTTTTTTTTTTTTTTGGTTTTTCAAGACAGGGCTTCTCTGTGTAGTTTTGGAGCCTGTCTTGGATCTCGCTCTGTAGACCAGGCTGGCCTCGAACTCATAAAGATCCGCCTGCCTCTGCCTCCCGAGTGCTGGGATTAAATGCGTGCGTCACCACCACCCGGCGTTATGAATTTTCAAGTGATCCCAGCCACTGGCACCCAAGGCTGCACCACCACCGCTCTGACTCCTATACCGATCTCAAGTTAGATGAGAGCCAGAGCTCACTCTAGCTGGCTTTGGGGTCCCGAGTCGCAAAGTCAACCCTCTTGAACTCCGGCCACCTGTAGCAAGGTCTGCCTTTGGACCCAGTGCAGACTTGGCTTCTTCGGTGTCCTGCTGGCTTTCTCCTTGGTCACCCTTTGAGAAAGCAGCAGTAGGGCAGGTCAGTTCTGAGCTCTGCCTTTGCCTCTGTAACCTTGAGAAGCCTCAACCCTCAGGATCCGCTCTGGCACGTGCACTTTGGAGGAAGCAAGGTCATCCGTTAGAGGCTTGTGTAAAGAACACAGAATCTTCTCTGATCCTAGATTTTAAACCACTCATTGTGAACCCTTGCCAACTACAACAATGACCTGTCTGGAAAGCTGTCTACTGGTATAATAGTGGCATGATTGTTCTGGGGGCAACCAACTGCTTTCTGACTGAATTTAAGGCCTGCTCCACAGACAGTCATGCCTGGTCTGACTGGTCCAAGAGCCTGTGGCTGGTTATTGGCTCTAAAGGAGAATAAACTATTCTTTTGCTAAGTGAACATAATATCAACTTGCTTTCTAAATACTTAGGCAGCTCTCAACTCTCACCAGTGAAGCTTCTTTTTGCAGCAGATGGCAGTTATATAAAGAATGGTCCAAGTGCAGACAGTAACATCCCATCCTTCTCCCCAAGGCTCAGGGATCATTATGAAGGAGGGAGGTGCAAAAAGATCTTAAGTGCCAAGGACTGCTCCTAAAAGTGTGTTTTGGACATAATAGGGCCACTGCACACCAACTTATAGCAATTATAACTATGCACATGACCTGCACAAGATCAAGCCAGCCAAAAATGCAACCATGGATGGAGGGGCTGATGAGGCCCAGTCCTCTAGTGGGGGCACTATTGGCAGCTGATGGCTTCCGTGGGAAGGACAGTCAGTTTCCTCAGGGGATGTGGCCCTTGCTAGGTTATTCTTGCTCCAACAGATAGCCTTACACCCAGCACATACTTGTAGCACTAACTAAACTCAGTGGGTTAAAAAAACATGAAGTTGGGAAGGGGACATGGGATAGGTCTGGGAGGAGTCAAGAGGGACTGAGGGGTGGATATGATCTAAACACACATGTATGAAATTCTCAGTAAGAACTACTTTTAAAGAGCCACCGGGAAAGGCAGAAACAAGAAGTTTGGAGACTGCGGCAGTACTTTTTACCTCCCCCTCTGACTAGCCCAGTGTTGGATGGAGCAGCCTGTGATGTTTTCAGCCATATGCTTAAATACTTTTAAGCAAATAAGGGTCCACAGAGGGAGGCCTTGCTTCAGGAGAGACCACGGATGCTTTGCTCTGGGTCTGGCTGCTGTGTGTCACACGTGTGTCAAGTCCCTAGTTCAGTCTTTGGGTAGATCCAGCCCAGATGAGAGAATAGACTCTTTTGGTCCTTTAACCCTGGGCTTTCCAGGGAACACAATGACTCAGTCATCATGGGCTCCATGCTCCTGTGGCTTGACTTTTAAGCTGTCCCGCTCCACTCCCGTCTACTGGATCCTGACTTTTCCCAGTCCAATGGAGAAGTATAGCTCCTTCATAGACCAGTACAGGGAAGAACCTACCCGTAGTTACCAAAAGGCAGCTAGTAAGGGACGAAGTAACAAGGAACTTCTGAGAACTCATGAAGGTGAGTTCATTGCTCATTCGCTGCTCACTGCTTCACTGAGTGGCTTTTTATCTAGGAAAATTCTTTTAAGAATTACTGCCCCCCCAACTCTACCTTGTTTTATTCTTTCAATACTCCAGGAATCCTTTATAAGTTGGGGTCTTGCCAACTATTTTCTTTTAAAAAAAAATTTCTAGAAGCCGGGCGGTGGTGGTGTATGTCTTTAATCTGAGCACTCGAGAGGCAGAGGCAGGTGGATCTCTGTGCGTTTGAGGCCAGCCTGGTCTACAGAGCGAGATCCAGGACAGGCTCCAAAGCTACAGAGAAACCCTGTCTCGGGAAAAAAAAAAACAAAAACAAAAAACATAGTTGTTAGTGAAGCAAACAGTTTTCAGACCTGGCATGTGGTTCCTTCCAGAACCTTCTCTACTTGAAGGTGACTGTGGCATGCAGGCTGACTATGCCAGGCTTGGGAGGCTAAGGCAAAAGGATCACTAGAGTCCAGGAGTTCATGGCCAGTCCCAGAAAACACAGTGAAGCCATGAGTTAATCAGTCAAACTCACTCCAAACAAGCAAAGGGAGAACAGTGCTCCTGTACAGCTGCTACTGAAGAATAAGGCCCTTTAACTCTACACATGGCCAGTCTTCACTGAGGTTCTAGAGCTGTCCGTCTTGGGCCAACAGCTCCCTCAAGTGCTCTCAGTGTCCGCCTTAGAGACACTCAACAACTTGGTGAACAGAGACAGAAGTCATGACTCTGATCCTCTGATGGCAGAGCAACCATGTCGTCAGGAATCTGGCCTTAGTCTTAACCCCTGAATTCTCCCCGGGGTGGCATCCTCAGGACTGCCATTTCAGGTAAGGGCGAGCTTATAAGTCAGTTCCCTGAACAGAGCACAAAGGAGAAAAGCACCAGACACAAGGTTTCTCCAAGTGTTGACCATTTATAAATAAGTACATTTGCTTTCATACATACAGTTCATTGTACAGCTGACGCTCTGTATACATGGGGCAGGAAAATGCATTCATTTGAACTTTTCACATCTATCTCACACAGCTCACATGTACAGACAATAAAACTGTTCAAGCAAGTACAGCAAAGGAAATGTCTTCCTTATACACGGGGCTAGAGGCCTCCGCTAGGTGTGGGGCGTCCCCACTGCACGAGTTCACGACTGTGTGGTGTTCAATATATTAGGATAGAGAACAAACATGCATTGGATAATATACTGTACAGAGAAAGT